AAAAAAAAAAAAAAAAAAAGCATGTACACCATCAGCATAGAGCTAGACTTACAACCGGTACAGGACCAAATTGCAAATGAACCCCTAAGCCATCGCAAACATGCATAAGCCTTCTTCATCATTGCAACGGTCTTATAAAATTATGATAACCCTATTAATTATTAAATAATATAAATTTATTATACTGTTTGTGATTGAGATATGAGAGCAGAATTATAACTAGACTTTACACCGAACGAAAGTGGTATATTCATATTGTCAAAACATTTGCCATATCTAGAAAGAAGGTTCAGGGACCCTATGAAGCATATACATTTATTCACAATCAGCGTCAAATTCTAAGTCGAGTTAAGCTTCTCCGCTTGCGTAATGCTTGTGGTAAACATTTTCTTGGCCACAGAAATGAAGATGTTGGTTTCAAATTCAGCAAAAATATTGGAAGTTACTACACGCATGTTACTATTGGAAACGGCTCAAATCGGTCAAAGGACACATGAGCGGCACAATGTAAACTGAGAACACTTCTGCCTTCAACTGCAAGAAATATTGCAATTTTTCCGAGGTCGCAAGCCTGCTAATTGGATCAATACGTATGTTCTCATATAATAATTGGACCATGTACGCACAAGCTATTCAAATGTGCTTAGTTCGATCAGTAGTTGAGTATGCCTCTGTTGTGTAGTCCCCATCCTATAGGTGTTACGTAGATTCAATTGAATCCGTTAAAAGGCAATTCTTGCTGCTTTTCCCTAGGAAATTCTGTTGAGACCGGCTTGTATCTGTTCCTGCTTATGAAAATAGATTGCTTCTCTTATCCTTAGCGACACTTGAGAAACGTAGATTTATTATTGGTGTTTCCTCCTTAATTAAGTTAATTAATGGTATTATCGATTCGTCCACATTATTTGGTGCGATAATGTCCCTCAACGCTTCTCTACGCACTGAATTTTCATTAAGCTGAATCTACGTAAATATAATTATGAGTTGTTTAACCCTTTCACAGTTGTTTGCAAAAACCTAAATAATGTCTATCACTTAATTTTAATATCGGATCCAATAAAGCCTATCAAATCACCTTTGCTTAACACGCCCGATCTGCCTATGTCGTATTTAAACTAACTTGCAATCTTAAAGTCTCATCGTGATTCTAGTACAACTGCGATAATCCTTTTGTTTGTGAATAAAAAAGAAATTGCAAACAGAGGTTTTCGATGTATAGCCTGCCAGCGTACGTGGTTGGCGATTAATCACAAGATTAATTAAAATTCATTGATACAAGATGAGGTGCAATAGGTTGGGCCATGAAAAATCACTCTCTTAGAAATACAGCGGGTAAGAAGATTAACAATTAAGTCAGAAAATTATATTCTTTTATACCCATAACCAGTATCGTAAAAAGACAAAAAAAGTAAAAGAACTAAATTTTCATGCTTTACAATACGGAGTGGGTGATCTTTTTTATCTTCAAAATAAAAGGTTTTGTCTTGCAGACGCGTGTGCATTGTAGGCATGTTCTTTGAAAAGTTAAGGGCAATTCTAAATTCTCTGCGTTGCAAATGTTTTAACAAAAGGAAAATACACCTCACCCTTTGGCGATGGGTAGAAAAAGGAAGTTTTTTGCAGATAATAGTAAATTCATCTATAGGCATTTTCAATAACTTTTCAACAGGCTTGTAATAAAAGTTTGTACTGGTTTAAGAGAAATGCTTTGCTTTCTTTATATGACGCGCTTCAATGCAAACTGTATAGTGTTCTTTACATAATACATTTACGTAGTTATATTCAGCATTGATTTCTGATTCCAGGCCAATGGAAAAATTAAATTATTTTTCTTTCCTTTTGTCGAGTTTATGCGGAAGTTGATATTGTGTATAAATTTTCCTTATTAACTATGAAAATTATTAACAATTAGAGAAAAAGACACAGCTAAGTTTCTTCAGGGAAAATGTTTAGGGAGTCGATGAGTACGGTGAGTTGCATATTATCTGTAGACATTTGCTGAATAAGTATTTCTTACGTACTTTTCCCAAAACTTTGTTACCACGTTTAAGTTCATGGCAACTTACATAAAATCTATATTACTTAAAGGTTTTTT